TACCATATATTGCTTATAAAATAGATATGCCTACCACAAATTACAACTTCAATATTCGGAAAAGTCCCAGCTTAGATGGGGATAGGACACTTCAGTCCAGGTGCCCAGAAAAACGAACGTTTTCGTTCAAGGATACCTGATATAATTGACCGGTTTAGATTGTATTATGTTGGTTTATCATCGGACATTCAGAAAGCATTTCTTCAGCTGAGTATTATCCCAGAACACAGAGATTATTTGAGGTTTTTTATTCCAACTCTTAAAACACCTATGATTTACAGACACTGTAGAGTGGTGTTCGGTGTTTGTTCATCTCCATTCCAACTCTTTGCACTGATAGAGCATCTCTTGGATAATTTCCCTGCCGAGTTTGACGATGTGACCCAAAAATTAAAGCATTAGTTTTATGTTGACAATTGTGTCACTGGGGTTCACGTGATCAAACAGCAAGAAACTTTTATAGTTAAGGCGACAGAAGTAATGGCTCGGGGATGTTTTAACCTACAGGGTTGGAAAAGTAATGTTCCAGGTCATTGTATTTCCCCGTAGTTCGTCAGGTGTAACTTCTCTTCTTGGAATCTTATGGGATTTAGATAATGATACATTAAAATGTAATCTTAATTATTCAATGGATAATGAGATAAGTAAACGTAATATTTTGGCTATGGTACATAAAATTTTTGATCCGCAGGGTTTTTTTGAGTCCAACTACCTTGTTACCTAAGTTACTATTACAGGAAGCTTGGACTATGAAATTAAAATGGGATGACCCCTTGCCAGATAACATTCAGAAAACTTTTCAGAACTGGCAGGATGAAATTAAATATCTTGAGAAAATTAGTATTCCACAATATGTAGAGATAAATGAGAATTCAGAGCTACATCTATTCGTTGATGCATGTAAGAGCTCCTATGGTGCATGTGTCTACATTAGAACTGTAACGTCCGTGGGAGTCAAAATTCGATTGATCAGAGCCAAATCCAGGGTGGCGCCATTAAAATCTCTGACAATACCCCGGTTAGAATTGATGTCCTGTTGCATTGGCGCGAGACTGGTACACTCAGTATACGCCGCCTTAGATTTGCCTGATTTGAAAACTACTGCATGGAGTGATTCTATGGTAACACTCTGGTAGATTAAGAACCATGATGATTGGTCAGTGTTCATTGCAAATAGAGTAAAAGAAATAAACAGTCTGATTACTTCTCGGTGTTGGCGCCATGTTTCAGGTGATTTAAACCTGGCAGATATACTTTCAAGAGGCAGTTCCCCTCGTTCATTTTCTGATTCTCTTTGGTGAGAGGGTCCATCCTGGCTCTTGGAACATATTAACAACTGGCTAACAGACCATTTGACTTAAGAGATCTTTGAGGTAGAATGATAAAAAAGGAAGGTCAGATTGTGTAACCTTAATTCAGTTGAAGAGGAAATACCTTGGTAGAGCATTAGGTTTTCGAATTTTTAATCTATCATTCAATTAGTCACATGGATATTGCGGTTTGTGAAAAACACAAAAAGTAAACGTGCATTTTGAAAGAATATAGATTTAACCATTCTTGAGATGGAATATGCCGAAAAAACTCTTATAATAATTGTACAAAATAAGTATTTTCCCACCGCCGACTCTATTCCCAATATGAGTGTCATTTCAGACAGTGAGGGTATAAAAATAGTGAAAACGCGCATTACAGAGCGATCAGACGACCCTGAATTTATTTGTCCAATTATTGTACCAGACCGGTGCATTTTCACCCAGCGTCTGATAAAATATTATCATTTACAAAATTGTCACGCTGGAACCCAAATATTACTCGAAATATTAAGGGAGAGATTTTGGATAGTGAGAAAGAATTTTGGATAGTGAGGCAGAAGAGCAGTCAAGAAAGTCGTAAAAAATTGTGCAAGATGCAATGGATACAAGACCAAGGTTGCGAGCCGGTGTCCCTACCAGGCGATCGTGTCAATGAAGCAGCGGTGTTTGAGGTGGCAGGACCCTTATATGTGAAGGGAGGTGAAAAAGTTTGGAGTTTTGTTCACATGTGCGATATATAGAGCCATTCATTTGGAATTAACTTCCTCATTGTCTACTGACGCATTCTTGATGTCGTTGAGATGATTCGTAGCCAGAAGGAGGAGGCCGAGAATAATTTATTTCGACAACGGAACTAATTTTAGAGGAGCGCAAAGAGAACTTCGTAATATCAATTTGAAAAAAAAAAAAAAAAAAAAAAAAAAAAAATTGAGGTAAACGACTTTACAACTCATAATATGGAAGTTTAATCCTCTCACAGCCGCTTGGTGGGGAGGCTGGTGGGAGATGTTAGTTCGTGTAGTAAAGGAACTGTTGAGAAGGACACTCGGTAATGTGGTTCTTACAACTGAGGAGTTGTACACAGTATTGTGTGAATGCGAGTCAATAATTAACTCTAGGCCTCTTACCTATCTGTCCGAAAATTCAGATGATTTAATCTCTTTTCCCCAGCCATGTTTCTCATCGAGAATCGTAGCTTAGGTGTTCCTGATGTTGATTTCTGCGATTCGAAAGGTCTTCGAAAAGGTACTAGACATCACCAAAAACTGCTTAATGATTTAAGACTATTTAGCCTTCTGGTACAAAATAAGAAGGGTCCATTGTCAGAGCTACGGTTGGGTGAAATTATCCTAGTAGGAGGTGACATCCAAAAACGGATGCATTGGCCTTTAGCTAGTCATTCAACTAATTCCTGGGAAAGATGGCAAAGTGAGAACTGTAGAACTGAAGACTCAAGCTGGTACGCTGCTTTGTCCCATTCAGCGAGTCTTTCCGTTGGAAGTGCAGTTAACGGACACACCCACTGATCCCATACACAATAACGCTTTTACTAATCCTATTTCTTCTATTTCTAGTGATGAGCATTCAGATCTCAATGACTCTAGTGACATCCCGCAAGGTGCTAAAGTGTCAAAATTTGGACGTGTGATTAAGGTGCCTCTTAAATTAGAACTCTTCGACCAGGTATTGTATGTTTTTGAGCCAACCTGAAGTTGACTCAAAGAGGGGGAGAGAGTAGGAAATGGCTGCTTCAGACAGACGATTATGGCTGGGTGAAGTCGACAGAAGGAACGTCGCATTTGATTGGACTATTTGGCTAATCTTTGGAATATGGTAACAGGTAGTTTGGCGACATTTTGGTAAGACGATAAAGGTTACTAGCTAGGACTTTAGCAGTGTACATGGATAAAGTCAAGAGTGTGCGCAACGCCATTTTTGTGCAATTCTGAGATGTTTTTTTAAGTGAAAATAGGTTGACGTGTACATGGATACCGTGTATGTGCAATTCTTAAAAACGCGGCAAGCAGTTTGCGATTCTGCACTTTCTCCCAATTTCGCACCTAATTTTCGTCATAATTAAGCACTTTTGTTCCATAAAAGTTCTAGGATAAGCGTAATTCGGCTAGCAGATTGTCGGAAAAAAATTTTAAGGGGGGGAAAAAAAAAAAAAAGGCTTTTGCTTCGTGAAAACAAAATGGCGTCCAAAGAAAAACTAGCAGGTTGCTGTAGCAGTGTTGGTCGCCAAAATTTTGCCAAAAAATTGCCAAGTTACCATAATCCAAAGATTAACCGACTATTTTTTTATTATTCTTATTTTTCTTTAACTGTGAACTAAGCAGGGAAATTCCCTTTTCACTCAGTTATATGTATGCACTTGTTAGAGTAACGTAACGTTTTCAGCTTGTCTGAGATATCCCTATTAAAATCTTTATACTAATAATCCCTGCTGTGATTATTTAATTTGTAACCTGCGCATTGATTGTTGCAACAATCAATAGCATTTCAAATTAACTTCAAACTGGCTTTAATTCACTTTATAATGCTTTATAATTCAGATAACTGGACAACTTGTAATACAGTTCTGATGTAAAATATATTAGCATTTAATTAGACATTATAAACTTTATGTTCTTATGGTACTTTCATTTTTTTTAATTATTATTTTCTTAAAACTTTTTATTGCAAAAATTTCAAATAGTGAAGCTTTATTTATCAAAGTACTTTTAAATATAATGAAAATAAAATTAAAAATTAATGTACATTGTATGGATAAAATTAGTAATGTACCATTTACTGAAGTAAAATAAAATTAAGTACAAATATTAATTGATTAAACATTGCCTGAATCATCATATAAAAATCTACAAATGTCTATAGTAGATTTAAGAGAGCTCAGATCAAACGAAATTTAAGAAGGTCAACAAAATGTAATAAAAATATAATTCATACAACATAAAATTTAATAAGAACAATTATTTTGAAAATCGCGAGAGGTACGAGAATGCAATTTGTCTAATTTACAATTCATTTATTAAATAAATCCCATTTATTTCAATTATTGCTAGGAAACATTTTCCTTAGTAAAAGCTAAAATTAAAAATTGGAGATTTGGTGATTTACTGGGAGACCAAGAGATTTGATGAAAAACAAGATTTGACAGCAATGCCAATGTCTTTCACGAAAAGTCATAAAAAATAGATTTTAAATATCTCATCATGCATAATTAACTGAGCAACAGCTAACTATTTACTCAACTTGAGGCAATTACTCAGTAATTTAAAAATATTTTGAAAGACAAAATGATGATATATGTAAATCTGTACTTTGTACAGCTGTTATTTTTTACTTATTTTTCATGAAGTTCTCCCTTTTTCTTTCTGTTTATTATTTCTGATATACACCTAATACAGAATCCTAATAATACGTTAATGGTTATTTTTTAAATCAGATATATTAGGGTTGATGATTATTTAACTATCTTTACAGCACCTTTCATCTAAAGTTCAGTTATGTACACAGCTTGTACATACCTCTGCCTTTTTACAAAGACTATTCATGCACATGGTACATGCTCTATGGAAAATAAAAATGTACACACAAAAAAACTATTTACATGCCACTGATATCTGAATATTTATTCTCCGATTTTCTAAGCTCAACTGAAAATTATTTAACTGAAATACATACCTTTTTGCTTTCTCAATATTACGGGTTATTAGATCATGGTCCACATAAAACAATCCAAGCCTGATGATATGAAACAACAGATCTAGTCGATGACCAAGGGAAACTGTTTTATCTTGAGTTTTACGAAAAACTGCTAGAGCAGCTTCCTAGAATAGAATGTTTTTAATAGTAAGGGATAATGTTTTAAAGGATTTTGCTTTAATTTTAATATTACATTTTAAAATGAAAAAATTTACTCCATGTAATACCCAAGGGGATAATTGTGACATGGTTGATCTTTACAATATGGTAACTGGTAGTTTGGCGACATTTTGGAGGCGATAAAGGTTACTAACTACCTGGCACTTTGGTAATAATGTGAGCAGTACTCAGTTCCGATTACGCATTTTTTTGTGTGAGGGAAATGAGAGATCATGGGATATGTCATGTGATATTAATGGACGAATTACGGTTCTTTAATCGGAAAAGGGGGGAAATCGGGAAAAAATCTGGAAATTTTGTATTTGGCTTTATTCTGTGTTGTGTGAAACAGTGTTCGTGAATTTTTGGATCCCATGGCCGTAACTAAAGTGAATTCGAAATGGGTATTTATGTATGTATTAATTTAATGTATGTGCTCATTTATATTTTAAGTAGTGTTTTTGAATTTAATTATATTTTAATTAAATGATAGTTATTTTGTGAATTTTATGTTTGTAGGAATTTGGTATACGTTTTAGTTGAAGTAAACGTGCATGGAAATAATTTAAATATCTGACACTAAGTATTTGTAATGGTTGCGGTATGAATTCGTTGGTGACGTGTATAATGTAATAGATGATTTAGAGGTAAAAGTTTTTGGATATTTTATTTATTTTATATGTGGAAATGTTCATTACTTTTTCGCGATCAGATAATTTATATATGTTCTTTTTACCGGGTTTAAAGATTGAGAAAATTGTCATGTATTTTCGTGAAATTTTTCTAATTTATGAGAAAAAAGCAGTGTACATGGATATAGTGATGAGTGTGCGCAATGCCATTTTTGTGCAATTCTGGGATATTTTTTTAAGTAAAAATAAGTCGGCGTGTACATGGTTTAGTGATATTTTAATTAAATGATAGTTATTTTGTGAATTTTATGTTTGTAGGAATTTGGTATACGTTTAAGTTGAAGTAAACGTGCATGGAAATAATTTAAATATCTGACAATAAGTATTTGTAATGGTTGCGGTATGAATTCGTTGGTGACGTGTATAATGTAATAGATGATTTAGAGGTAAAAGTTTTTGGATATTTTATTTATTTTATATGTGGAAATGTTCATTACTTTTTCGCGATCAGGTAATTTCATATATGTTCTTTTTACCGGGTGGGTTTAAAGATTGAGAAAATTGTCATGTATTTTCGTGAAATTTTTCTAATTTATGAGAAAAAAGCAGTGTACATGGATATAGTGAAGAGTGTGCGCAATGCCATTTTTGTGCAATTCTGGGATGTTTTTTAAGTAAAAATAAGTCGGCGTGTGGTTTTGTACATGGTTTATATGTATGTGTTATTTTGAAAAACGCATAAGGAGTATGGTATTGGCACTTTTTCCCAATTTTGCAGTGAATATTTGTCATGATTAAGCAGTTTTGTTAGATAAAATTTCTAGCATAAGTGTAATTCGGCTAGTAGATTGTTGGAAGAAGTGTTCAGTAGATAAAAAGAAAAGAAACATCTCTTTACTTCGTGAAGACAAAATGGCGGCGGGGAAAAAAAAATAGAGGGTTGCTGTAGGAGAGTTGGTCCCTAAATTTTCGCCAAAAAAAACGCCAAGTTACCATAATGTAAAGATCAACCTGTGACACAATTCCAAAAATATCCGAAAACTACTCTAAAGTAAATATTTGAGATAATTACAAATAATCAAAAATATTAATGCAATGCAAATACATAAAACAATTTCACTAGTGAAGCAAAGAGTATAATTACTTTTGGTATATACATATTCCCCACAAACCGTAAAAGTTAGTAGATATCCTGCTGAAGTTGTTCCTGTGGAATTTTGAGGAGCACTTCTGTATGCAATTCTTAAAAGAGAACATTCACCAGTCTCTCTGCACAATCACTCCCAAGGAAGTATTTGAGCCACTTCATTTTTGCACTTTGTAAAAAGGCTTTTGTTAATTTCTGTCACTTGTAGGCCTTTCAATTTTAGTGTAAATTCTGTTTAGAACACTATGAATAAAAACTTTCCACTATTTCGCCAGCCATATCCAGGTATCCCCTCATTCAACAAATGTTAATTCTCTCGATCAGATGTAGATGACGATGAGTGTAATCACAAATGGTGCATTTTGTTTATATGCTTTCAAATAAAATACAATATTGTGCTCATTCATACATATTTCTTTTGATGGTAGGATCAAATAACTTTGGGAATAAAACATTTCTTGCTGTTCTGCAGAAGAGGTCCCAAATTTTAATTATTTTTTCAAAATGCAAGGAAAAAATAAGCAATAACAGTTATTTTATATCCTTGTTCATAAAAAACAAAAAGTGGCTTACTGAGAATCAATTATGGTTGCATCAAACAAAAGTGCAGATGTTATAAGTGGTGCTAAACTACATTGCTTGGCGGTAGTTTCACAGTCAATGGGATAATATGTAAGTACTGCCATTTTTTATTTTTTTAAAATTGATTTATGTTTAATTATATTATTTCACAAAGTTCCTTACCTTTTTTAGTTTTTCAACATTTTTTAAAAAATAAATGCCAAGTTTAGCTTATTTTAAACAACAGATTTCAGTTTGCTGCATTTATATTTTTTGCTAACAACTGCAAGTTGAGTATGATCAGATAAACATCTTGATGTGGATAATGAGCATTCATTTAAACCTTCAAGCATTATATTAGAATCCAAAATACTGGGACATGAGAAATATCTAGTAGGAAGAAAATTTATAAAATATAAAGAATGTTTTAAAGCTGTCTAGCTATTCAATAAATTGTCCCTAACATCTTTACCAATAGTATCTTGAGAGGGATTTAACAATCCTACATTTTCATATGTTACAGTTGTTTGGTGAGAATGAATAATATTTTGTAGTCTGTATAGCATGCAGGGTATCAATGCTTCAGGACATTTTACATTCTGTCATAACATCACTTAAACTACATTTAATCAATTTTGTCAATACCGAGTATTTGTGTTTCTGCATTTTTTTTTAGCCTGTCTACCTCAGCCCAAAAGTTTACAGTATCTGTTTTTTCTGTTTCTGTATGAGACAGGCATTTTTCTGTATTCAAGCTCCTTGATGTAACAGAAACTTTTCATCTTCTGAAATGACTTTTCACAAATTATCTATTGATTTCATCACAGCAATGAAAATAGTTTTTTATTATGTACAGCAGAATTCACATTATTAAACTTTATAAATACCGAGTTCTTTAGTGCAACTTTTTTTTTTTTCAAATAATCAGCATATTCTCTATGTGCATGGAAGTTAAAAAAATATTTTTAAAAATTTAAATCGAATACTTCTTACCCCTGTATTGGTTTCTACACATTGACGATTTTCAAAATAATTAAACTGTATTTCTTTGTTATAGTGGCAATTTAAGATCAGTGCCAAAATCTCAGCTATAATTTCACTAAGCTTGTGAAGTGTGAACGTAAAAACTATAATTATAATAATAATACTCATATGTCCTTTCCTATGAATATTTTTTAAGAATCCTTATCCTTGTTATTACCATTTTAGCACGAGTAAATTTTTTCAGTTAACTGCTGTACTTTCACACATATTAAGCTGTTTGCTACATCATTTCATGGATGTCAACTCCTCTGCCCAAGAATACATAAATCTAATAGTAGTGAGTAATTGATATTTTGAAATCGCTGAATGAATTTCCAACACAGATACCGTTCTTCTTTTTGAAATTTCTAACACAGCACCACCAAATAGTTTCATCATTAACATAAAGTTTCATGTTGTGGTCATTTTCGCATACTTGTTTGACAGATAAAAGACCTCTTTTTTGAAAAAAATGATGATGATGATGTCCAACTCATTACTTGATAAATTAAAGATTGTTAATGCCATATTTCCACACACAAAAAAAAGCAATATATTTTAAAATAAACAATGTAAATTCAATAATGTCATCAAAAATGAATAATATAAGAACATGGGTGAGAACAATAATTCAACATAGTGCTAAAATACGAGGTGTGACAAGAAAAAACTACTTTATGTCAACTCCATGCTATGTGACATTTAACTCAATAAAGACCTCTCCCCCAGATATTTAATTGGATAAGGGGGGAATTTCATTTCTGATAATGAATATTTTGGAATTAACTGATTTATATTTGAATTACATGTGGATTAAACATTTACCTCATAAATGAATTTGAAAGCTACAAATGCATACTTAAAAAACAATAAACAATGCTCACTTTAATACTGTAAAATATTATTTTTACATATTTTGAAGGTTGCACCTACACATTACTATCAACAAGCATTCATAAAAATGATTTAACTAACCTTGGAGCCAATTCTACTAAGATACTCAGCTTTATTTAGAAATGCTTCTCTGACTTCCATTTCTCCAAGATTTTTTTCAGCATCCTCAATCGCATCATCTAATTTTTTCAATTGCTCTTCATTGGCTTTTTTCATAGTTTCCAATAGAGCATTATCTACTGGCCAGGACAAATCTTTGCACACCTCTTCATAAAATGGAGCCATATCTTATTTAAAAAATAAGAAAAACAAAATATTAAAATAATGAAAAAAATCGTTATGCTTTACAGTATAAACATAAGAATATCATAATTAAATCAAAGTTTAAAGAAGACAAAATTAAACATGGTGATTTAAATTACATTCAAAATAATCAAATATATAAAATAATATTTTCGTTTTTCTTAATGTTATTCATGATCTACCTCGAGTTCATAAATATAATTTAATAAAAAACAGCCATAAACAAAAAAATTCACGATATATATACATATATTGCACATTCTACTAAACTGTATGCATACTATTTTCTTTGATGGCTTCTAGCAGGCGAGATTTCAAATTTTCATCTCTCTGATGCTCAGCAGAAGAAAGCAAAAATTTCAACTGAGCTAATTCCAAATTTGGATTTTTTTCTAAACTTTCGGCTTCCAGATTTTCGACAGGCATTTTCTTATATGAAATTAACTAACTCGTACCGAAAATGACAAGACAAATTCAACACACGGTTTGGTTTAATGCCAATTGAAATTGCATTTGTTGCCAATCACAGAAGTTGAAGTATAATAATCCCTTCCTTTTCTTTCAAGAAGAAAAATAAAATCTGATTTTATGTAGAGTTAAGTATAAAATCTGGATAACGTTTAACATGAACAGAAATTTTTAATGGAATGTTGTAAGCATGAAGGAAGAATTTTTGGAAACGTTCACTAATAATGTATTTTATCCAGCTCGGTTCAGATCTATTATTTAAATTACTGAATTTGGCACTAACCTTTGCAATCGGGATTATACCAAGTCGGATTTAATTTTTAAGTTTCGTACGTCGGTAATCTTCCGCAGTGTGATGATATTTTGCTATAATAGTGGCTAAATTCTGTTACTCATTTTCAGGTTAAAATTAAAATTCCGAAATGATGTGGACATGGATTTGCTTTGCGTATTTCGTAACAATTCTAGAGCTGAGCAACGTGAGTTGTTCATGGAAATTTATTTACTTATTAAGGATCTTGAATTTACTTGCGGAATATTTAGAAAAGTTGTTAGTTTTATTATTATGTTACGAATTCATTTTATTTATTCCATTTGGTATGTTAATTTTAAACAATTAATGTGTGTTTCACAGACAAGCATATTTAAATGTCAAGAAAGCATCTTGTACAAATGCAGAAAAATACTAATTTGGGTTTTGTGATTTGCTAAAATGAAAAAGAAAAAACTAGATCTATAATAAGTTTAAATAAGAGTTATAGTAGGAAAAAAAATATAAAAGGGCAAAAATGATATAACATTTTTTTTTAAATTTTATTTTAAAATTTTTTTTTTTTTTAGAAAACTGTAAAGTCACAGGCAATTCTTAGACATTGAATTTCTGGGAATTTTCCCGATCATAGTCTTGCTTTCTTTCATCAAAATAATGTTTAACAAATTTCAAAAATGTTATAAAGGTATTTATAACATTTTTGCAGACATATGTCTGCAGTTGCTTATTTAACTAGATATATTTGTCTTTCAAACTTGCTAGATAAATTTCTGCAAAACAGCATTAATTTTGATTCTGAAGAATTTTGTTAAAATCGTGAAAAGTGTTTATTGCTACTATCATCTTGAATTTTATTATTTCCTAATTTTTGTTTCAACTGTGAACTAATACAATTAATAATATGATTACTGCAATACAGTTAATTGCCATTGGAAGAAACTCTGACATAATATTTATTTTTTTATTATTTGCCTTGCTGTGTCAAAGAAAGGCACTGTGAAGTTACTATCAAGGATCTAAATTATCTCAAAGTTATCCCACTCCACTGCTTTTGGACAAGTATTAAATTATTCTGATATGATTGTTTCCTAATTTTTAATTGATCTGTTGTCTTTCCTTGCAAGCAAATTATGATTTAGAACAGTGAGAAATATGATTTTTGATTTTTCTAATAAGAAAAACAGTATTTTACAAATGACAAATATATTAAATTACTGAAAAGCAGAAGATATGAAATTATGTAAAAGGTATATTCTGTAATGCAGCCTAACTGCCTTTTATACTTTAGTGGCTTGAGTTATTTAATTATGGCAAAACATATTGAGACTGTCTGCCTAAATGGAAAGATTCCTTGTTAGAGGTTGCGGGTGGCCGAGTGGTAAAATAACTGAATACTATTAGTTCCAAACTTTGTTCAATTCCAGGCGAATGGGTTGGCTGCATGTTCGTTTTTGTGATTTTTCCCATGTCTAATGTGTACATAAACCAGTTTTCCTTAGAAAGTCCTCCATGAAGGCATCCCTTCCCATACACAGATAACCCTTCCATGCTGTGCCATAATTAAATAAACTAAATTTCATGGTGGATTTTCCAAGTAGTTTGTATTCACACATGAGAAAAACTATGAAAGTACTCATGCAGCCAGCTTATTGACTGCAATTCTTACCTATTTGATTATTGATGGGTCTGGTTTTCAATCAGATTAAATGAAAAAGTGAAAAAGAACAAGACCAAGTTTGAATAATGTTGATGTTAGTATTTGTATTAATAGATTTGTAGTAACTGTGGTGATTACTCTTTGGCAGTGAAAAATTCTCATGCAGTGATCTCGGAATAAGGGTAATTCAGAGGTCCTAGAATAAATAAGTATAGTTGCAATCTTTAGTGAAAGTTTACACCAGATAGTGTCTTATCTTTAGGCTTTTAATTTATATTGAGATTATGCCATAAGTAGGACAGCAACCTGTCCTACTTATGTCTACTTATGACTTACCTGTCCTTACTACTGATATGCGATTTTTTTTATCTTAATTTCATCATTTATTGTAGCACTTTTAGGTACTTATTTTATTTTTCATCCTCTTCATTCTCATGTCGCTTGTTTTTCATTTTAATTCTTTAGAAATTAAATGACCAATATAATGGCTATGGTGTTTTCAGCATGAAAAACTGTTATATCCAATATATTGGTCGTATAGGTTTGTTTCGTTTAGCTACAAAAACTGTAGCAAAATGAATTATCAAGCTTGAATTTCTAGGAGATGTAATTATTTACATTTTTTTCCAAAGAATAGTCCAGTCAGTCCAGATTTGCTGAATTTTCTTTTCTTTTGTAAAGTATACATTTTTTCTGAGAAGTGTCAGGTTAGGCAAGGACTGTCATTGCTAACAGGAAGTGATCTTTAATATTAGGCAAAAAAAAAAGGCAGCCTTAGTTTGATATAGATTTTGATTGAAACTCCCAGCAAACATTTTTTTGCAGAATATTGCCGACTGCAGAAGCTTTATGGCTAAGTTTTACAGAACCAAAGTGAAAATTGTGATCAAGTATCCAACTACAATTAGAGGTACTTGTGAATTAGCACAACCACCGTAGTTGAAGTTACCAAATTTTTTGGACTTATTACGTGCCAAACTCTGGCAACCGTACTCGTAACTATTTTTCAGTCAAGCAAGCTCACCATTTTCGCATACATTCTATATGTTGTGTTCTAAGTTTGATTGATTTTTGCAGACAAATAATATATATATTTTTCCCCCCTTAAACTCAGTTTTAAAATATGTGCTTGTGGAATTTGCCACTAATAGAAGAAATTGTAAAATTTCTGCAGGAATACAGTGTTTGGTAAAAATATATTTATGAGTGCCCCTTGGCGATTTGTGGCGGTACACAGACACCGAGTTTGTGCAGTTCTTTGACTTGTTATTTTGGCCTTATGTAGCAGCGATTTTTGGGCAAAAAATCTTTGTTACTCAAATCCAAAATAACAATTCAAAGAATTTGTTACTCAAATCCAAAGTGACAATTCAAAGAATTGCACAAACTCAGTATCCATGTACACATCAACTTATTTTCACTTAAAAAACATCAGAGAATTGCATAAATTAGGCATTGCACACTTCCTTGACTTTGTCCATGTACACATCTATCTATATTCACTTAAAAGGTCAAAGGAGCAGCCAACAAAAAATATAAAATTGCAATAAACTACATTTTAAATCAAACAATAAACAAATATAAAAAAGGAAATTCGTCTTAGCACTTACACAAAAATATCCACTTACCTTATTTACAAATTTCCCTGTTTTCAGTCAAACAAAATTCCTCAACGTCATCCCCAAACTTCTTAAAATTATCTGAACTAGAATCTTTATACTGACATTGCCACAGAAATTCACAAAAATAAGAGTCAGAAATATCCTCCGTAGTGTAGGTATCCTCAGACGTTTGACCATACACATTTCCTTCTTACAAACAGGACACTTATAATGGCAACTAAGTAAATCTTCATGTACACACCAGTCCAATTAATGCTTTTTACCCTTTCGTTCCAAATCATACAGAAACTTCAAATTAATTCTTATAAGGCAAATTAATCTTCAGGCACTTTACCACGTAAACCACAAAATAGCAATGTACTTCTTATCCAAAATCTGTCCCATCATTCAAATTCACTGCAATCATGCAACCAGTTATGTCATAATAGGGTTTCCATAACATTCAACTACTCAGGTTACCATAAATGAAACAACAATTTGGCGATAAACGAAACAAACAACTTAGCGATAATCCAAAGGGTACCCTTCAATCTGCTCTAACCTACTGTTTTTCTACAAAATTGCTAATGGGAACAATTGTTTCAAATTTGATACTAAAGCTACCACCATTAAATAAATATCCACCAGAACAAAAATAAAGCCTACTTTGTAAGTAGTTTTATTGTATAATCTTCTGTAATAAATATCTAATGAAAAAATTACATTTGTAATAATATTTATGTGAGTAATAATTAAGTTCTTACAATTGAATGATAATTAGGCTCCCATTCTTTTGCATATGTAAAAATTGAAGTGTGTGAGGTTTGTTTATGGTTGGAGTGCATTTAACTTCAGTTAAATGGTGTATACTGAAGTTATGAATGAAACCTAAAAAACCAGTGAAAATGAATCGGTTGGAAACCAGTCACGGAATGGTTGTAAACTGGAATGGCCAGAGGAACACCATGTCATGGATCTGAATAATTTTTTCACAGAATTTATGTGGAGAAAGGAAATGACAGACGCATTTGAAAAAAAAAAAAAAAAAAAAAAATAAGCGATATTAAAATTTTTATACCTCTAAAGTAAAAAATTCTTAAAAATAACATTTGTTTAACATTTTTTTATTTGTATACTGTGTGTTGTCTTCAATAAAATCTGCTCTGCTTGACGAGATTTGCGCCAGCAAAATGGAAAAGTACCTTGAAATCTGACCTTCTTGGAAAGATATTTAATGTTGTTGATAGTGTGAAACAAGAAGTTGTAGAAAATTTTGAGGCAAGCCTTTAGATTTTTTTAGGGGCATAGTTTTTTTATTAAATAACATGAAAAATGTATCGACATACTAGAAGATCATATTAAAAAATAAACTTCAGTTAAACCTGTTTTGTGTGTGATTTATTTTGTGAGAATTTTTTTTAATGGCAGTATATGAATTCCTATGGTGTTGGCATTATAACACTATTTTAATGTTTTCTATCAGCAACTATGTACACTGTAAAAAGCATTTTTCGTCTTTAGGCGCTATCCGACCTCGTACAAAAGACGATTTTCGGTTAAAATTTCGATTTCTACTTTATTACATTATCTTAACGAATACATCTTTAGCTATCAAATACAAGTTTTTGCTTGTTGATACACTAATTAGAACTGAAGTTATAAGCATTTTTCTGTAGCGGAATAAACCGGAAGTTCCAATACTCTAGGCCGGAAGTGAACGTTTAAATAGACATACCTATTTAGAAACCTTATTTATCATCAAGATTTTGTAAATTATAAACCTTCGTACTAAGTTTAGATATTTTGTAATACATTTTAAGAATCTGGCGATAGTTTCACTTAATTTCGTATTTAGTTTGGCGCAGAGGGTATTCAACGTGTTGCTGCTTTGTCAATTAGCATTGACAAAGTGCTTGATTTGAAAACTATGTCACATTTTATCATCATTTGCAACAAAATTAACAGAATGGAATGCAATCTTCAGCACGACATATGAAAAGCATAACATAATTGTTCTGCAAATTATAAAGAAGCACCTTCGGGTATGGAAGCAGTTGGTGCTTATCCGCTTTTTTAATGATCTATCACATTACGAAAGCTGAAGTACATGGAGTTATTATGAAGATGGGAATTCTAAGGGGTTTTTAATTGTGAAAGATTTATATGGTAAAGATTCGGTTAAGAAACTGGAATGCATTGGACATGTATTGAAAAGGGTTGGTAGTAGACTACGAAAAAGTAAAAATCTCCACTCCTAAATTGAAAGGAAAAGGTAAACTGACTCATTTTTTTATTGATAAGCTGCAGAATTAGGGATTGCAATTAGAAGTAATGTTGGAAACTTCATTGAGATGCAGTAAGCTGTACTAGCTACTTGTTCCATTATAGCGCTTCTTCGAAGCCAATGTCCTCCTTAATCAATGAGTTGGTGCAACTATGAAAGCGCGATTGCAGAAACCTCTGGTATATCAACATATGTTTTGAATTTAATTAAACCTACATATATGGAGTTGACTAAATAAGCAAGAGTTATTAAAACGTGCATACATGGCAAAATTCAAACTATCAAGGAATGTTTTAATGGCGTTTTATTGCAAATTGGCGAAAGAAACATTCATAAATTTGAGAACAGTAACGTTTGGAGCAAATGTAGGTGTTGTGTTATTTAATGATGGATTTATAGGTTTGCTTGAAGTATTTTCAAAATTAGATATGTGTCCTGAATTTTACAATGAGCAGGGAATTCGAAAACTTGATAAAGTGCAGAATCATGAGTTTTGGCGGCATTCCACAGGTTTTACAAAAACCCAAAGAAAAAATTACGCTTTATTCGAAAGAAAAAGTCCAATGTGTGTGAATAAAAAACAAGGTTTCAGTTACAAAGCAGGGAAATTTTAATTATCAGGGATGCTTCTTTCATCAAGAAATTGTTTTATGAAAACTTAAACTTGTTTTCTGAAAAATGTTTTTTCTGTAAATATTGCCAATGGTAACAGCCTTTTATGGATAGAATTAAATGTTACTTTCTATACATGTTTCATATAATCTGATGCATGCTCTGAAGCGGAAGATTTTAGAAATATTAATTAGAAGTTGAATTGTTACTTTTTATTTTTAGATTCTGGATGCCATAATAGGAAAATGTACAGTAAATACATTTTGACATATTTAAAGGATATATGAATATTTCTTAATTATTTTGCTTCATTGCATACAAAACGAATGTAAAAATAAATACAAATTATAAAAACTGCATATTTATATATACATTGTTCACCATGGTTTTTTGCCATTACGGCAAAATTTAAGCAAAAATTATCCTTTTTTTCATTATTTTTCAAAATTAAAATTACTTAGCATTACGTTTTAAGCTGTTTTCATTCATTAATATGCTTATCTTCAAATTAAGATGTTTATAGTTAAAATAAAAACCATTTTTAAAAAAATGGTACCCGAACGAGGTAAGATACCTTAATTTGTTACCAAAAGTTTCTCGATAATGCACATTCAGTCATTTTCGTTCACCACACTAGCAGCATGCATTTCACGTTCAGAGTTTTTCCATGACTCTCACGATTAAGGATTCATTTTATAATGAGAATAAAGGTAAATTAATTATTTTGTGTATTTAGATATAATTTTTATGTTTTTTAATTTTAGACATAAGTACTCCCTTAAAGAGAATAATTGTAGATTCTCCAAAAAAGGGAAAAGAAAGGCAATTGCGTTAGAAACTAAAATTGTAATGTTAACTAGACTGGCGAAGGATCCTGGAGAAGGATCCACAGCACAATAAATATGTGAATAAAATAAATAAATCTATAAATTGCACAACAAAGAAAAGCATCTGTAAATTGCATTAGAAACTAAAATTGCAATATTAAATTGTGTGGCAGATGGTGAAGGATCCACAGTTATAAGCACAAAAAAATATGTGAATAAAATAAATAAATCTAAATTGTGCAACAAATGAAAGCAGCTATCATGATGTTTACTAGCAGCTGATCAAATGAATGTTGTTGCAAAAATTTATTACCAGCTTTATGGTAACAAAAAATAAACTACAAGGAGTAGCAGTGAATTATGTGAATTTTGAAAACTTTTCGATGTGTAAAATTTAAAAAAATTTTTTTTTCAAAATGTTTGCATGTGTAGTATAATTATTATTTTTTTTAACGCACTTTCTCGCTATTTTGTAAATCTTTGTCATATTTTCCAAGTGTGATTTTTTTTATGTGGTGCCTCTCCACTGCATAAATATACATATATATATATCTAATATGTTGCAAAAAAGTGACTTGTTATAAGTAGTTTTGAAATATCTGAATTTTTGTGTCTGTGTGTGTGCAGTTTCTTTTATGCGGTTCCTATCTACTGCATAAAAACAAGTTTGACTGTATTAAAATTTTCTTTATTTCCTTTAGAAGTATAACAAGCAAGAAACTTTTGGATCTGTCTACGTATGTCAGCTTCTGTCTACGTATACTCACTTTTATGTCGTGGAAATTTTTTAAATAGCCTCAAAAGAGGTCTTTGCATGGGCACAGTTAATTGTTCCAGACCAGTCAGAACTTCATAGCTTTGTTGAAATAGGGAACACTTGTGATTATTTCAAAAATGTCCTGCTTTTTTTTTTTTTTTTTTTTTTTTTTTTTAATCTCAGAGGCAGTAACTAATAGTTCAACTCGATGTTTAGTATTAAGCTTAATGTAAATCGTATAGTTGTTGCGAAGTAAAGCCCAATTTCACTCCTGCCAACTTCTTTAATAATTTATTTCTAGATATACCAGTTTCATTTTGCAAGAGTGTCTGGATTCCAGAGCAATTTCAAGTGCCCAGCATTTTCTGTTTTATTTAATTGCTATAGTTTGTACAAAATTAAATGTAATCAGTTTTGTATTCAAAGTAAAAACATGATACTTTGTCTTATTAATATTTATAATTTTATTAATTGAAAATACAGACTTCTTTTAGTTCAACTTTGGTTTTAATGAAATGAATAATAAAGTTGCTAGGCAGTTCATGCAGTAAAAGTATTGTTTGATGCTTTGTTTAAAGTTTACAGACAGAATGATATTTGATTTCCAGAAAATCTTAATTTATACACAGTGCTCTTGATTTCCCGGGGCGATGCTGGAGAAATAGGTTATAGATAACCCAAACTATCAATTTTCATGCATATTGTATGTGTTTATTTCTTTAAAAAAATCAGTAAATATACTTTGTTGAGGATATTTGATGAATTTCATTGTGTATTTTTCTAATTGTTATTTTATCAATGCATTCAAATCTTCTTTGGTCAACGAAGTCCAATAGAGTTTTGACAGAAGTCATTGCTGTCTCAGAAGTAGTGTGATTGTCAGTATCTTTGTTTGTAATTTCAGTATCGTCTCTACCTCTGTTCTCGCAATATTTGAAATGATTATCTGCATCACTCAAGCATTGAAAACATTGCTCGGTTGAATTGCCATCAAACTGTTCTTCGGTATTTTCCCCGATAGACATATTCAAAGAATTTTACATTTTCAATTTTTTGGCTTACAACTTCAGTTTTTACCTCGACTTCTTCATAATTAGATATATCTCCAATTTTTGGATTAGAAAGAATCCTTCTGCATGATAGAATGAGTGTTATTGGTTTTCTTTTAGATTGCACTTTTACATACATAGTGTTGGCTGGGCGTAAGCATGGCCACTCATGGATAATCTGCAAAACAAGTAATCTGCACCTGGATAATGAAGAGTACATTGTATTTCAAGTTTGCTACAAATATTTAAAAATAATTCTCAGTGTGTGCTTCCTCTCCCCCCCCCCCAAGGCTTTTGTGTTAAACTAGTATGTTCTGGCTTTTTACTGTGTGTGTATCTGTTATTAGATTAAACCAAAGTTTTAAATAGGCGTTCTAAATATTGAACCTTTAAATATTGAGAGTCTTTATCATGCTATTTTTGTAAGTTGGTCATTTATTAAAATACTTCTCTGATATTTTAAAAGAAAGTTATGAAAATAACCAATTTAAAAACTTTTAATTACACAGTGATAAATTTTTTTGTGATATATTACTATAGTTTGTTGCACAGTGGTTTATTTATAAACTTTTTAATATTTTGAAAATTACAGGCTTTACCTAAAGAATTTGGTGTACTTGTTGCTGAATCATCATCTGAAAAAGAAAATTTCTGTATGGTATATTTTAAAGGACTTTCAGTTGTACCTGAAGAAAAGTCTAAAGCAGTATGTGTGTTGTGATTCTACCTTGCTTTATTTTACCTTAAATACATTTGTCCTTATTATTAAAGAGAGAAAAAATGCAATTATATAATAAATTGAATTTAAGAATTTTAATATAAGCATATTCATCCCACCTTTCCAAAATTTGAATTTTTTAAAAATGTTTATAGTAGTAATAATCATGTAATTTTTTCCACAATCATTTTATAGCTTTTGTCAAAATGTCAAAGTTTGAAATTATAAATTTTTGTCTTGTATTTTAGGTAGTTTTAACCATAAAAGCAGCATGTATTTATATAAGTTATTTGTAGTTAAATGTATGTATTAGTAATACAAAAAATTTTTATTTACTGCATGTTAATATTTTAAGTGATCATGAAATACTGTTTGCAATTTATTGTTACGAATTTGGTATTTAAAAAGCTAATGTTAGTTCAATTAGAAATTAAATGATTTTATTTCTCGCGCAGTGCAGCGCGTGACGAATATTAAAAGAAAGCTAAGCCGGAAAATTGAAAATACAAGAGCGCGTGCATTAAATAAATAAATATCTCTTTTTATTTCGAGAAAGTACTGGAAAATTCTAGTGCGTGATTTTAAAATCTTATAAAAGGAGGAAAACATCTCAGTTTGTAGTAGTTGCTTAGTTTGTTGTTGTTTAGAAAACTACTGTTGTTGATTGTAGCGAATTCGCGGATTAGCGTTCTTTAGCTGTTTTGAATTACGTTCTATTGACATTTGAGTAGTTAAAAAAGAAAACTACTGTGAGATATTGTAATACTGCATGATAATTTGAGAAAATTTAAGCATTTTTGTTGTGATAATAATAAATTTTTGTTCATTTTTTTTCATCGGACTTGTGCATTCATTTCATAACGAACCCGTACGCACGCAACAATTTTTGGTGTCAGGAGTGGGATTTGAATGCCAATAACAAGAGCGATGGAAGAACAATTGAGACAGCTCATTAGTGCTTTTGCTGCATTCCAAGAAAAGATGGAAGCTGGCCAAGCATCATTTAAGGAAGAAATGAAATTGGGCCAGGAATCCGTTAAGGAAGAAATGAAATTGGGCCAGGAATCCGTTAAGGACGAAATGAAAGCCGTTCAAGCTGGTCAAGAAGAAATGAAAAGAGAAATTACTTGCATAATAGAAAATAAATTTGAAGCTATGGAAGGCAGAATTGACGCAGTTGAAAATAAAGTTGGACATATTGAAGAAAGAGTTTCTTCGGTGAAAGAAGAAATAGAAGAAAGAGTTTCTTCTGTAAAAGAACAAATTGACGAGAGAGTTTCTGCAGTTGCCAAAGAATGGATACTTTAAAGAAATTCGTAGCGTCGGCAGGGAGCAGGAGTGATGATTTTTAAATTCTTACCAATGCCTGCTCGTCCACCTCTGAAGCTATCCACATATGATGGGAAGACCTCCTGGCAGGTGTATAAGACACAATTTTCTATCGTGGCGGATGCGAATGGATGGGATTCCCAAGCTAATGGGCCTGTCAGATCTCGCCGCTTCTTTAAGAGCCGACGCAGCGGATATCCTTCAGACTCTTCCCGAAAACAAAAGGTTAGATTTCGAAGCTCTGTCCGGCGCCTTGGAGTTGCGCTTTGGGGAGAAGTGTTTAAAAGACTACAGCAGGCTCCAATTAAAATCTCGTCAACAGAAGCCTACCGAAACACTTCAGGAGCTTGCTCACCGCAGATGTTGAAAGGCTGTCCCATCTCGCCTTTTCGGAATGCCCGACAGAAACAAGGGAAATCCTGTCCTTGCAATACTTTATCGACGGCATCCGAGATACTGAAATACAGAAAGCTCTACGAATGGCGGATGTAAAAGATTTAAAAAGTGCTCTAGTGTACGCCATGAAATTTGAGGCAGCCCAGCAAGCCACTCGTCGAGACTGCCCCCCAGTCAGAGCTGCTCAAGTCCAGGAGCCAGGGGATCAAGTCACCGCTCGACTTGACGATTTAACTAGACAACTGAACGCCTTGAGATGGAATATTGGTGAGAAGAAACCGACCGTTAAGTGCTGGAACTGCGGTGCTGAAGGACACATACGACGAAACTGCAAAACACCCCAGGGTACTGATGTTAAGACCGCTTCTAACAAGCAGCAGGGAAACTAATTAGTGGCCATCTCGCGGGGCGGAGGTTGCCAGATAATGAAAAGCCCCCGTTTAAAGCGCTTCAGATTTCTGCAGTGAGAGGCGGCAGTAATGGACTTTTCATAATAGGACATATTAATGGAGTTCCGTGCAATATGACTATAGATACAGGAGCCAACATCACCATCATCCGAAAAGATTTGGCTCAACAACTAGGAAACAAACTTATCTGGACGCCGCCCTGCATTACCCTCCAGACTGTGTCCGGTGAGAAGATCGACATCGACGGAAAAGTAAATGTTAACATCACGTTTGGAAGTGCCGCTTACCATCACACGGCATATGTAGCAGAGATCACTGATTCTTGCATACTCGGATTGGACTTTCTAAGGAAATTCAATTTTTCCTTGGATTTTAAAAATAACGAATTGCATTCTACATCTGAGGACCCATAGCGCCCTATTTATTTCTGAATCTGAGCCCATTTATTTATTAATTAGGCTCTATGCCCTATGAATTAATAAGAAGTTAAATCTGTCCATAAAATCATAGCACAAGACTATATTACAATACCTGCAAGAACAGAAATTTTTACTTCCTGGATCCATAGCCGAAAATAGAAATTTTCCGCTACGGCATCATAGAATATCCCAATAACTGTTTTATCCCAAAAGGAGTATTAGTAGCCTCAACACTCGTCGACCTATCCAGAACGGTTATCCCGGTGAGAGTCGCCAATGTAACTGAAAAGTCGAGAGTTATTAAGAAAGGTGAAGTGGTTGCAACATGTACTCCAGTAACCAGCATTGAAAAAAAGAGTAACATCCCAGAATCCGTGTCCTCAGAGAGCATTACATCGGAGTTATTGCAGAATGCACAATTAAACGATAAAGAGAAAAATGCTGCCGATCGCGTCATTAAAGATCTTCAAGTTGTTTTCTCCCGCTCGTCTTCTGACGTGGGTCGAACTAGTTTGACACAACATAGAATAGATACTGGCGATCATCATCCCCCGATCAAGCAACATCCAAGACGTCTTTTACCGTTTGCTAAACAGGAAGAGGTGCGAACACTGTTTAAAAGATATGGAAGAAGGCGATGTCATCGAGCCTTCAGCGAGTCCATGGGCATCTCCCATCGTTCTCGTCAGAAAGAAAGACGGCTCAACAAGATTTTGCGTTGACTATCGCCGGTTGAATGAGGTTACGAAGAAAGACAGTTACCCTCTTCCTAGAATTGATGACATTCTAGACACTCTTTCTGGAAGCAAGTGGTTCTCAACACTTGATTTAAAGAGTGGGTATTGGCAGGTAGAAATCCATCCTGATGACCGAGAAAAGATGGCATTTACTACGGGACAAGGACTTTGGCAGTTCAAAGTGATGCCGTTTGGACTGTGTAATGCGCCGGCAACATTCGAACGTCTTATGGAGACTGTTTTGAAAGGCCTTTCTTACGAAGCCTGTCTGATATACCTGGACGATATCATCATCGTCGGAAAGAGTTTTGAAGAGCATCTAGAAAATCTTAGAAAGGTGCTTCAGAAACTGAAAAGAGGCCAATCTGAAGCTGACTGACTCCCGCTAAATGCAAATTGTTTCGAAAGGAAGTGACTTACCTGGGACATGTCATCTCTGCAGAAGGTGTGCGCACGGATCCTGAAAAGGTATCAGCGGTTAAATCCTGGACGCGTCCCGAAAAATGTCCATCAGCTGAGAAGCTTCCTAGGGCTTTGCACCTACTATAGGAGATTCGTGAAGGACTTTTCTTCTTTCCATCGCAAGACCACTTCACAAGCTGACAGAGAGCAAGCAAAGATTCTTGTGGACAAAGGAATGCGAGGATGCATTTAACAACTTAAAGGAAGCTTTAACATCTGCTCCAATCCTGACGTATCCTCAGCTCGACAGACCATTTATTCTCGACACCGACGCGAGCAATGAAAGTGTCGGTGCTGTTTTGTCCCAAGAAATAGACGGCCAAGAACGTGTAGTAGCATACTGGAGCAAGTGCCTGTCTAAACCGGAGAGGAATTACTGTGTCACAAGGAAAGAGTTGCTCGCCATAGTCAAAGCTGTAGAACATTTCCATCATTATCTATACGGGAGAAAATTCCTCCTCCGCACGGACCATGCTCATTGGCGTGGCTTTTAAATTTCAAAAATCCTGAGGGTCAAATAGCCAGGTGGATACAGAGACTCCAAGAATATGACATCACTATCCGTCATCGTAAGGGATCATCACACGGAAACGCCGACGCCCTGTCTAGAAGACCTTGCCAAGAAAACTGCCGATATTGTTCCAGGGTGGAAGCGAAATACGAGCTGCTGACTCCGGTCGCAAGACAAATTACAACATCAACATCGGCTGCTCGAGACCCGTGGAGTGATGATGAAGTCAGGAAAGACCAGCTGGAAGACCGCGACATTAAACCCATACTTGATTTAATAGAGTCATCAAACAGAAAACCTACATGGCAGGACATTTCTATCTGTAGTCCTACAACAAAACAATACTGGGCACTCTGGGATTCACTTCACATTCGAAACGGCGTCTTATACCGGAAATTCGAGTCGGATGATGGGAAGACGTTCCGATGGCAACTGATACTTCCAAGATCCCGGATTCCTGATGTCCTCAAAGAACTACATAACACAGCCCTACAGGAGGTCACTTTGGAATTATGAAGACCTTACAGAGAGTTCGTGAGCGCTTTTACTGGAATAATGCAAAGAATGACGTGTGCAAAGTGGTGCCGATCTTGTGATGCCTGTGCAGGTCGGAAAGGACCGAGGAAACGCAGCCGAGGCAGACTGCAACGTTACAACGTAGGTGCGCCTTTTGAACGTATCGCCTTTGACATCCTGGGACCTCTGCCACGAACTGCTGATGGCA